TGCAATAGTGTGCACTTTAAAAAAAAAAACAGTGGCCATACCACCGCTACACTACAAATCCCATTTGCAAGACTCTGAAAGCCATAGACTTCCAGAGGCAGAAGATGAGATTTGTAGTTTCACCACAGCTGGAGGGCCAACGTTTTGCTACCCCTGATCTACACCTCACTCCTTCGCCATTGCCTTACTCAAACTGCTTCCACTTTCCAGTTTTTGCAAATCACCCTTTAACCCTTTTGCTGCCAGCACCATATCCCTTACGCTGGCTGCAGGCCCCTGCAAACAGACTCATGATGGACAACATACCTGGTCTGCCAAGAACAGGTATGTTTCCCATTCTACCCATTGCTCATTATACTCATTCTGCTAGATGGGGCTGCCTGGCTCCATTAAGCCCTCCATCAGTGCAGGACCTTTTGTGACAGCTCACCGAATGGCCACTGTCACTTGTTAACATAGAAGCCAGAAGAGGAGTCTTCCACTACTTCCATTACTAATTTCTCCATCTGTCATGATCTATTGCAGAGCATGGCAGAGGAACTGAGTAGTGGAAGACTTCCTCTGCTGCCCTCTGTGTTTCCAAGTGTCAGTGGCAAGTTGGTGAGCTGTCACAGTTCCCACGCTGATAAAGTCTGGCTAGGACCTAAGCAGCAACAGCATTGAACCAATTTTAAAGTCCTTTGTAACTAAAACTCACTTCCGTGATGGACTATAATCTCATGTCTTGTTTACTCATTTGCTTTAAAATTGTAGTCCATCATGGGAGTAAGCTTGGAGCGGTGGCTACTTTACAACACACACAGGAAAGAAGAACAGTGTCAGGAGCAATTCAGAGATGATTTGAGGATCTACAGCTGAATGATGCACAAATATGGTACAGTATTGTTAATAGTTAGGGTACTTGAATGCATTTTGAAGATTTAACTCTTGAGTTTACTGTCACTTTCAGTTAATTTTCTGTGACCAATAGTGAAAACAAAACTGTTGGCCCATATGTGAATTTTTGAAAGTATTGTCAATGTGAGAACTGTACACAACAGGTTAACTAAATACTCACCTGCAAAGTAAAGATGCTGTGTCAGGTAATTATTTATCACTTAGCTAAAAATGTATTTGATTGTGATTTCTTTTTAAGGTTTTCTCAGTCTGTAGGGCTGACTCTAAATCCATTTAGGCTTGTCTTAAGGTACTGTAAAATGCAGTGAATGCTACCTAAAAGCATTCAATTAGATAAGAAAGAGAACCTCAGGGGCAATAGTATCCTTTGCAAATCAGTGGCTCTTGCTGAACACATACACATGGATGATTGCCATTATAACAATAATAATATCCATCCTGTATGTGAAGCTGCTGCCTCTAAATTGGATTTTCCCCACTCACGTCTAAGTAGATGGATACAGTACCTAAGGGAAATGGATATTGAGCATGTGTATGGCGCAAAAAGCTTTCTGAAAGTCATTAGATGGACCAAAAGGATGCTTGCAAAGACAATTTTGTGTTCTCTTTCACAATCTGTCTCTAATGGAAACATTTAAGTTTAGTTTATTGGCCACTTGAGTTACTACAATAGCTGCAGTTTATTTATGTGTACAGACCGCTAGTGGCCGATTTTTCTATCCAGTATCTTTACAGATTACAAAGAGTGATACATTATTTACATTTTCTTTTAAGGAGCTTATTTATTTAAGTAACATTTTATTATGCTCTTTTTTCCCCACAGTAAATATAAAAAATAACAACTATTTATAAAGCTCCTCCTTTAGGGTGTCCATTTTAGGAAGCCTTTCCTTCTACAAGCCTCACTCTCCAAGCTCCAAAACCTCATCATCTGTTCTCCAAATCTGTCATTCCCCCTTCAAACTTTGGTCGATTGTTACTTAGTCTCCTCATATGTCCTTATTCCTGCTCCAAATGCTGGTCAGTTGTTATCGGTCCTCATCACATGTCCGCCTCATTTTGTCTCTGAGCCTATGCTGGTTGTCAGCTCTACTGCTCTCCAAACCTTGGCCATTCATCAGAAATTCTCAAATTTCCTTTTCACATAGGTTATTTTATTTCCTCTTTTTTAGTGGTCCTCTTCGATCCCTCCCATTATCACATTATTCTTATTCTTAACTATCCTTCTCCTTCCTCCACCTCAGCTTTCTTTTCCTTCTTTCCGTTTCTTCCATGTTTCTCCCCCCTTCTTCTCAGATGTTTTAAAATTCTTCTCATCTTTCTCCTCCCTCCCTCTCATCTATCTTTCACAGGTATCATATTACTTAATCCTTCCAAACTGTCTTTTTCTCTCTCCATTTTATGTTTTATTGTTCTTCTTCGCTATCCTCCTCCTTCTCAGATGTACTTCTCCCTCTCATACATTCTTTCAGCTATCCTTTCCTTCCTCTATGTCAGATGTCTTTTTTTCTCTCTCCTTTTTCTCCAGTTTTTCTCCTTAACTTCTTACTTGTACATCCTAATCTATCTCAGCTGCTCTTCTCCATCTTGCCTCTCATCCTTTGCAGCTATCTTTTATCGCCTGCTTTTTTTCTGCCCTTCTCATTACTTCTTTCTGTCCTTATTCATTTTTAGTTATCCGTGACCTTTCTCAGTTTTAGATGTCCTCCTCACTCACATCCATTCTTCTCAGATATCCTGCACATCAGCTGTCTTTTACCTCTTTCTTCTATCATTCTCCTCCCTCCTTCTTACCTTCTTAACTGTCCTTTTCCTTGTCTTTCCTCTCTCTGTCTCTCTCTCTTATTCCCACTACTTCTCCTTTGCCCCTTTTCCTTCTCCTTATTCATCCTTCTCCTCCTACTTTATTCAATCCATCTCTTCCTTCGATCTCACCTGTCATTTCCAATGTTCCTTTTTATGTCTTTATAGCTTTCCTTCTCCTTTTTCATATCCTCTCCCCCTCTACCCTTCTCATTTCATCTCTTCCCTCATCATCCATTCTTCTGCTCCCAGCTTCTTATCCATCCCTTTTTCCCTTCAGCTGTCTTTTACCTCCCTTCTTTTCCTTCATTCTTTTTCCCCTACATCTCAGTTGTACTTTTCTTTAATCCTAATCAGCTATCCTTCCTTTTCCTTCTCGTTATTGGTCTTTTAGAAAAATGTAATTCTACATGCAAAAAAATATTAAACAAGTAATATTATTATTATTATTATTTACACTGACCTTGTTCACAGTAAGTGTTATAAACTCACCAACCCTTTTTTCACTAAACAGACATTTTGATAAAAATTAAAAGCAGTATTTAGCATGCCTTCTCTGGATGTTTCCCCATCCAGTTCTAAATAACACCCTGTCTACCTATAATCTTCTTAAAAGAGAAGCAGGAACACTTCTCACCTTCTTCCTGATGTTGCACAGGAGAGTTACAAATTATTTATTTTACTTATTTTCCTTTGTGTAGGTGAGGCTTCTGATATGAAGGGCAGATTTCCCCTGTGGCACCAAGCAGAGAGTGACATCATCATCCAGTGTAGATGTCAGTGTCCTTCAGCCCACTAATACAGTTCACTACTTGTTACTCCTCCACCCCTTGGTATACACAAATGAAAGCATGGCATATGCTCCATACAAGCTTGATAGAAAAATATGGGAACTTGACGGGAACTAGGTTTTCTTAATTCTTAATTAATTAAACTGTCAGAGCCTTCATTAAGTGAATAACTTCTGGAACAAATCCCAGCTTTCACCCCACAAGAAATATAATCAAGGTCTTAATTTCCATAGTGGAGTAATAGAGCAGCCTGCAGAAAACCATTAGCAGTCTTATCTTGATTTCTGCCAAGCCACAGCAGTACAGAGTGGCTATATTTCACCAACAGTCAGCATTCTGTAACTTGGCTCTAGATTACATCTCCTGATGTACATAACTGTCTAAATAAAAGGGGCTGACGGTTGAACTTGTAAGTCACTGTTAACAGTTTGGAGATAAAAACAAAGCAATGCCTGTAAGGGTTAATGAACCTCAAAAGTAGCTCTGAATACTGTTCAGAGTCAACAGATCCTTGGGCAGTTTCTTGAAGAGGCCCAAAGATCTAGAGACCTAATGAAACTGAACACCTTACTGGGAAAAATCAATTACTCGAAAGCTCACTACAATCTTGTATTCCTTAAGAGCTGTTGGATGAGCCTTTGTAGTGAATTTATTTTGTGCAGAAAGAGGGATTACAGGTAGAATGTGTTAACAGAAATGTGTAACGTTTTAGTCAGAAGGAATTGGTTACTGGCAATATCTTGCTACCAGACTGGACCTGACAGAACGACCGTTAGAACTGGAAACATCCTCGTGTCATGGCAGTTAAGATTTCTTTTTTCCTATTTAAGGCCTACTCAGCTGTGACATTCAGAGAAGGAAGTGCAATTGTATGCAGTGCTATAAGAAGTAATGAGTCCAAGTATTTTGTTTGTGAACATGAATACAGAAACTGATATTGCATAGAAAGTGCAGTTCAGAAAAACACTTTAAAATGTTCAATTTTATTGTGTGAGTGAAAGACATCTTAATTACATTTTCAGAATCAGGTCGATAGCATTTTTCCTATGTGTATATTTGATACAAGATCCCAACATGATATTAGCATTTAGTATATGTAGAGGTGAAGTCATTTTTTTAATACTCATCTTGGAATATCATCTAGGTTTGACTTGCAATAAAGAAAGAATGGAGGTTTGGAGGCCAGATTGAGGATACAGTTCTAAATTTTGTCAAAATCTCATGAGTGACACTTTGCAGAGGGCATATTTCATGCATGAGATGCAGAAACACTAAAAACATTTCAAGCTAAACAAGAAGTTCAGGTATATTCCAAACAGAATCAGCCTAGGACCACAATATAATGTAGGTAGTAGAGCTATTTAAACTCAGTAGTACTGACCATGATAATGTTCATTTTTGGAAATTACTCTGTTTTATTTATAAAATTATGCAACTAAGAAAAGAAGTGGAATCAGTGCTCACAGATTTTTATAGTATTTAATTTTCTTTGTTTTTGTTTTTTTTCAGAGGAGCTAAAAGGACCCTTAGAAGAATATGTTCACAAGCGATATCCTGGGCTAGTTAAAGTTGTACGTAACCATAAAAGAGAAGGTTTGATCCGAGCTCGAATAGAGGGTTGGAAAGTTGCAACAGGACAAATCACTGGATTTTTTGATGCGCATGTGGAATTTACTGCAGGCTGGTAGGTAAACAGAATATCTATTTAGCCAGTGTTTTTCTTATGTAGCACTCCTTCCTTCTGGTTGGTTGAGGCTGACCCCTTTGATGGCGTGCAAGGCTGGCAAATAACATCTCAAGGCGGAATCCCTGGCATATTGTGGGGGTAATGAAGAAAGTTAGGCACCCATCACTTTTTCTTGATTTTTTTTGCTCAACAAACTCTGGAGAGAAGGTTGATGCACTGGACACCCCAAAAAGAGCAAAATATCTCAGATCTCCTAGTAGCTAGTATTGTTGCTGGTCCTTTAATAGCAACTTCCTACTAATAATTGTCTCTTTGAGAGCATCTAAGTAGATTACAGTGACTCTACCTGTGATCTGGTCTTCCTCCTTTTTTAGGTAGTGCAGTCACGGGTACCTTAAAATGTTGAGCAGTGAGATATCCATGCAATGTCCAATGGCAGCAGCTTTTTCGAGCTTTGCAGGACACACTGCCTCATAGAATTCTTAGAAGTCTGGAAGTTGGCACCAAATAGTTATCATCTCCCCTAACCCCACACCACTGGACCGAAACCCTAGGTGATTGGCTGAGACAGATACATATTCATAATTCAGAACTGGAATGAATATGGAAGGAACATCTTGCTATTCATAAAAAAACCCAGTGGTGATTAAATACCACAAAAAGAAAGCTCTATCTGTCCCAAAAAAATGGTTTAAAATTCATTTTGGTACAGTGTTCAATTAATAAATGGCAAAGTACTGCAGCACTGCATACTGAAAAATAGCACGTAGGGGAAGGGGGATTAACACCCAATCCTTAGGTGGTTAATTTAAACTTTTTGGGTTAAATATATCATTCTTGGCACAGCTTCTCACTGTATCTAGGGGTAAGCATGGATCTCTGTTCAGTTAAACTAAGGACAATAGAGGAAAAAGTTTTGTACTAATAAGTGCGTGACATGCTTATTGCAAGGCATTATTGGTTAAGCCCTCTAGGAGAGCACATAAACATAGAGAAAGAGGCAAGCGGATCTCTATTCACAGGGCACAGACTGTAATTTAATGCAGCATTCCCTCAATAAAACATGATATGAGGTCTGTACAATGTATTGTTCCTGTTTGGAGAATGAAAAAAGTTTGATGGTTCACTTGATGTTACTTGTGCATACTATTTAATATATGGACTTTCAAATACAATACAATTAAGCTAGGCTTGCTCTGTAATGTTGAAGATGTTTTGCAGCTAATCCAAGCTACTTCTTCAATTCTAATGAATGTTAGGAACATACCCTATCAGTTATATCCACAGAGGTAACACAGTGACCTTAATCCAAACAACATAGAATGTGTCAAGGCAGATGTCGATTGTCTAAGAACATGATGGGCAGTGTGAAACCAGTGGGACCACCCTGTTCTAGTTACATAGTCCCATCCCCAGATGTCAGAAAGTCTTTATAGGTGTAAATTATTTGATTTATATGGCTGACGGTGTTAATTGTTGTTAAATTGCCATGATGAAGATGTTAAAACATCATAATAGGTGGAGGACAGATGATTATGAAGTCCCCACGCCTGTTTAGGGATGGCTGTTCACGGTTAATACCAATGGCCACTTTCGCACCCTTTTGTGAACGAGTTGACCTCTCTGTCCAAAACGTGCACCCAACTGTCCTCAAAACAGCATTCCCTTTCCTTAAGGTGTAGGGAAATGTCCTTACATAGAGAATTTGCCCTCCTATCCTGAGCAATCCCTTTGTAAGGAGCTTGTTCATAGGCATTTAACATCTTCCTTGACACATGCCATAGTGATTGGATTAAGTTGACTGTGTTACCTATGTGGATATAAATGCACGGGTATGTTCCTGATACTCAATAAAAAGTGGCTGTGTATAAGCTGTGAAATGTCTTTAACATAACATGTTCATTTGAATGTGACTAACTACTAATAGCTATCAAATTAGAAGCCTTTCATCAGTGTTTCCATGATGCTGCAGGAGGGCAGTACAGGACTTTTAAAGAGCACAAAAATGTTATGTTTGCCTCAAAAGAAATGTATTAGCACCCCCCATCAGGTTCCATTTAATGCTCCTTTACATGCAAAATCTATAACACATTTCCTTGTTGTGACCAAAGCTATCCAAGAAAAGCACAACTGTCCAGAGATTGCCATTTCCTCTGAGGGCCAACACATCAGCAGTAATCACAAACATGCCCGCATCTAAGCCCTGTTCCCCTATGTTAGTATACAAGATTATCTTTAAAACCGCACAAAGTATGTTTAGTTCCGTGTTTCATTCCTAAATTAGGATTCTTATCAAGGGCTTTGCACATCTACAGTGATGCAGGGCGATATATTGTTTCTTGCACCTGGACTGGTCATGTGGTTATAATGCACAGAGCCTCCCACTCACTAGCAAATAATGTCCCATTATCTACAGAACAGTTCAATGTCTGCAAAGGAGTTTGCATAAGTTCTCACAATGTGCATATGTTACCTGGAGAGGATTGTTTTCTAATCAACAAAACAAGATTTTTACTTTAAGTAATGCCTAAACCAGTGCCTGGTTATAGAACAAAATGTTTTTGCTCAAGGCCAAAATGCTATTCACACTGCAGATAATATAAATTTAGGGGGAAAAAAGCTTTGATCTCATGCCCACAAATCATTCTGCTAGGCTAAACTACAGCTGGGAACCAGAAACAGAAAAATAATCCAGTGACCAGCTAATATGGGGTTAATATCATTGAATATATACCATACACTGGGACTATGAAAGTTGTTGATGACCTGTGTGTGAATAAAATGTAGCATATGTCACAGTTTTTAATATTTAGTTTTAGTGTGAATATGCTACGTGGATGAATATTAATCATTTCCATATAGATGTGATTTGTCCTCTTTAGAAAGGGTCCCAGATGGCTGAGAGTGCGAATTTCAATGTGACTTATCTAATTGGAAAGTGGAAGAAAGCACTTCCTTTGTTATTCTGCTTCCAGATGGAAAATTTTAATCTCAGTCAATGTGCTTGCTCAGTTTTGGAGAGTTTTGTTTAAAAGGCGCACAGTGCTCGGCATACATAACAAACAGTAACAAGACATACTTTAATAGATTATTCTATTTTTTCCTTCTGCTACAGTATTTTTCTCATTCTAACTATCCATCCATAGCACAGATCTCTCTTGCTTTGTAAGTCTCTTTAATTTATCTGTTACAGCTGCCTTAATGTTCCTGCACATTGTCACAAGCAATAACACTTCTTCTTTGACCTACATCATCCTTCTGGCAATGCTGGCATTTGTCAGAGTGTTTAATACTAAGGGTGGTTTGGTATTGGCGTCTCTTTAGCCTTTATTAGCTCTCAGTGTTGTTGTTTTTTTATAAAATGCTGTAGCTATGGGCAGCAGTCACTGTGCATTTATACTTGTAGTATGCAGCAGAATAGACAACAGAAAATGTTCTCCTGAATTATGAAGCTGCAATAAAGCATAAGGCACCCTAAAATAAGCTATGGCTAAGATATGCTAAAGTGGTATGCCAGTCACTATTATTATATATAATTTTAGTATAACCTAAGAACTGTTTAGCATATCATAGTTATAATTGAAGTGTGATAAATGAAGGCTAATTGGGCAAATGTATTAAACAAATAGCACAATTGTTTTTCTGCCAGTGCCTAATTTTCAGTTTGATTTTGTTCTATAAAAGTTCCCCAAATATTTGGATAAGATTTTAATTTCTCTTAAAGGCATATTTCACTTTGTGTGCCCCATTTAGAAGCTGATGAGAAGTCACATAATGCACATTTTCTGCCTGTCTTTCTACAGAAGTTTCCCATACAAGGCAGAAAACATACAATACAAGCACTTCAAAATCCCATCCCCAGCAGTAAAGATTTTGTTGGAAACAGTACTTGCATGGTCCTGCCTTTTAAAATTCAAAACACTTTCAACTGATTAATGTTAGCAAGGAAACATTTAGGGGGTTATTCACAAAGCTGCTGAAGGCAGCCGAGTGAAGAACCCAGCCGAAGTGAAGTGAGCCGAACGCTGTTCAGCTATTCACTCCAGTCTTGTACAGCTGATTGAAGCCGTACATCGGCTAAAATTTACCTTACATCGGCTGCCTTCAGTCAGCCGAATATACTCTACATGTTCGGCTGAGCCAAAGTGCAGAAGGAGTTCGATTCAGCCAGTCCAACATCTGGATCGGGGGGCCGAAGCTCCGGCAGCTCACTAGCTGCCATTCGCCCCTATTCTCATAGAGGCTGAATGGCAGTAAGTGAATAGCCGAGCGGTATTCGGCTTGGCTATTCTGCTCGGTACCTTTGAGGTAAATAAAAAAATAAAAAAAAGTTGAAAAATAGTTTTAAAATGTATGAAAATTAAAAAGAAATTAAAATAGTTTAAAGAAAATAAAAAAAGAGAAAATGAGAAATAATAATAAAAAACGCAGTGACAGCTAGCTTCGCCCAACTGTTTCCTATTGGCCGACACCTGTTCGAGTCTTCTAGCAGGTCCCGGCCAATGAATAATGTAGAGTGACGTTAAGTTGTTATTGTTTAATGACAGATCAGCGTCCCCAGGTCATTTGGGAATGCTGATCTCTCATTACAACTGGGCGTAGTGAGCCGTTTGCCCGCTTCAGCTGTCACTTTGGTTCAGTCAAGCTGAAGCATATGCTTTCGGCTCGGCTGAGCTGCTGTACGGGCTATTGTGAATAGTCCATACAGCAACCCTTCGGTTCGACTGAACCGAAGGGCTCCAGCGGCAGAAGAGAGCCAAAGGATCAGCCAAAGCTATGGCTGTGTCATTCGGCTCAATAGTGAATAACCCCCTTAGATGTCAGAGGTCTCAATTTGACTTCAGTAATATTAATAGAGCTAAGTAGTAGATACCAATAACGGTATTTTGGCAGTAATATCTTTTGACACAGTACTGGTTGGTCTTTGGCACAGAGAATCTTAAAGTAGAAGTAAGTATACAAACAACAGGTTAGTGTTATGTTTTTTATTACTGGTTTAGTGTTAGGATCTGGATCACCTGCTGGTGACACTGTGCTTCTTGGACCTGAAGCATTTAGTCCCAGTGTCCACCAGCAGATGTTTTCCAGTATCCAGCAGTTCCCAGCAACTAGTTTTCACCTAATACCAGCTACTAGGAGGTTATTTAGCCCCTCCTTAGTCAGCTCTCAATGCCTCACATTGTACCCATGTACCCACACTCTATGCTTGTTGAAAAACCTGTAATCCTGATATTGTTACCTGTACCTGATTCCTGTGGACTTCCTGATCCTGTCACAACTCCTGCTCCTCTTGCACCTGTACTCCATTCTGGCTGTATTCCTGACTCACTTACTTGCTGCTCCTTGCACCCTGCCTGGCTCTGCTGTACCTGATTTTCCTTAATACTCTGTTTTTATATAGTTTGTATATAGTTAGTTGGTTAGTTAGGGAGTTGTTTCACACTTTGCACATGTTTGCTGGTGTTGCATAGATTGCTGTGTATGTGTTGTTGTGGTCTCAATAAATCTCACTGTTTTCACTTACAGGATACCAGCTTGTGGATTCCTAACATTTAGTGTTAGGTCATGGTTATTGTTAGAATTATTGCTACAGGAAGGGTTAGGATTATGAATACAGGGATAGTTGATGTTAGGGTTATGATTATAGGGTGGTTTGTTTTAATGATTACAGGGAGGATTTTTATTTTTAGGGTTATGGCTACAGAGAGGGTTAGTGGTAGGGCTATAATTACAAGGATGCTTAGTGCTAGTGTTATGATTATATGGAAGTCTAGTGTTAGGGCTTTAGTTAATGGAAGGTTTAGTGTTAGAGTTATGGTTACAAGAAAGATACTTACAATAAAGCACTTTGTGAAAACATCATCAAAGCTTTTTATTGGATGTGTGTTCATCCGTGCATGCCTGTGCATCTTCACAATAAATCTTGCAGTCAAGAAAGACAAGCAAGAAAATTAAGCAGTTCCATTATACTGATATTTTGTTGAATTTACTAGGACAAGGCAAAGTTTGAAATCCATGAACCTTGAAGTTTGTGGTATGTAAATTTGGTTTCCTTGTGGCGACAAAGTCTCTGTTGTCTATCAGTTTTAGGACTATGTGGTGGTGGTGGTGGTTTAGGGGGTAATGTTTAAGTTATGATTACAAGGAGGTTTGGTTTAGTTCTAGGGCTGCAGTGGGGGTAGTGTTAGAGTTATGGTTACAGGGAGGTTTAGTTCTAGGGCAAAGGTTACAAGAAGGTTTTGTGATTGGTGCTATTGTAACAGGGAGGTTTAGCTTTAGGTGATCCTTTGGGTAAGGCATCTCTGTCTCTTTGATGAGACTCAGGAGGTCTGAGCTTTAAATTACTGGCTCCAATCTCCTGACCAGCTAATATATTGTCAGTGGTATATTCACTACATTCTTTCATTATCTAATCATTGGTGTCAATACTTAATCAATACTTTTAAAACTCATAATGCAATATGTTTATATACTGTACATTTTCTGTTTAACTTTAATTACAAACTACATATACCTATACTTTTAGGCTGGTTAGACACTATCTGATTTCTGCAAACAACAGATTTTATCATTTATGCAACCTTTTCCATTGGCGCCAACTCTCCTCAATCATAACTTGATCGAAGATACCACCCTGGAACAATGTTCTTGAATGAGATACTCCTGTCATAATATCATGAATAAAAAAGCATTCTACCAATTGGAAAACCCTCTCTAGCTGTAGATCAGAGAGGGATAGAGACATGTCTGCACTTTGGGATTGGGGATGACTGAGGGAAAGGGTATGTGATCAACCCAACTGTATGCATCCCTTGATACCCTTTAATGCCTTGAAGTACATCCAGACATTCATGTACCCAGGCTGAGAATCACTGACATAAATTTTTTTACACTCATTGCAGATTTTAAAAATCCAGGGCTATTCCTGAAATACCATATTGTTTCCATGCCAGAGTGTTTTTTTTTCAAGTTTTAGCTTAAAAAAACAAATTATTAAAGCGCTGAATTTTCATAATTGCTTTTAATTTCTTCACATTTGTTAAAGGGCTGAGCCAGTTCTGTCCCGGATACAAGAAAACAGAAAAAGAGTCATACTGCCATCCATAGACAATATTAAACAAGACACTTTTGAAGTTCAACGTTATGAAAATTCTGCACATGGATACAGTTGGGAACTTTGGTGCATGTACATAAGTCCTCCTAAAGACTGGTGGGATGCGGGGGATCCATCTTTACCAATAAGGTTAGTAAAACCTACCATTTATTTGTTATTTGCATTTATAACCTAACTTCCAAATGACAAAGAAACTGTTCGAATACATGTTTGGGGGAATTTATCAAAACTGGAGCAGACAAAATCTGGAGCAGCTTTGCATGGCAGCCTATCAGCTTCTCTCTTCAGTTTGTCCAGTTAAGATTTGAAAATGAAAGAGAGAAGCTGATTGGTTGCCATGCACAACTGATCCAGATTTTGTCTGCTCCAGTTTTGATAAATTCCCACCCAAGTGTCTTATGATCGCGATGCAGCTAGACTTTATAGAATTAGAGTACAGCTGTCCTGTAAGGTTTTGTCATGAAGCAATACTTGGAGTAGGAAACTAAAGACTCTTAAATTGACCCTAGTATGCAGAATGATCAAACACACAACTGAAAGATATACTGGTAGGTTATTTGGCTGTCTAAAATTGCCATTAGTGTGATATTCTGCTGAGCAGTCCCACCAACTGCCCCAACAGCAGATAAAGTGCTTTGAGTCCCCAAAGAAAAGTGCTATATTAATTAACTCAAAACGTTTGAAATGTTGGAAACTGATCCCCTGGTGGATCTGTATAAGGCATCCTGAAGATTTGAGGAGAGTTAGATATCAGTTGTTTTATGGATCATGGACATACAAAGTATACGTCAAACTCAAAACATAATATTTGCCCTGGAAGAAATAATAGCTAAGCAAATTCAGTTGGAGCTTCCATTGCTGAATAAAATTCTGTTTTCATAAACGAACAACTGAATTTTTCTAATGTATAACAATTTGCAACTTCTGTTAAGAAAAAACATAAACTACTTTCATAAATTACATGAGACACTAAGCATGGGACAAAGCATCTTGCACCAAGTAAATATCTGTCCAAATACTGGAAGCTGTATTAACAACATTCATTGAGCTATCAGAAAACAAGTAGCAGGAGTATGTCACCAACACCTACATACGTCATCATACAAATGTTTTCCATGCATACTTGATCAGTGTATTGTCAGCACTGCACCTTTCAGAAAGGGAGGTGCAGTGCATATACATATGTGGCACTACTGTGAGCTGCAGCAACAAGTGACAGGTCTGGCTGCAACTTAAAGGATGGCATTGCGAGCCACACCTGTCCCACAAACAGTATAAGCAGGAATAGGACATCACTGCGATCACTGTCTCATTGACACTATAAGCAGGCACAGCATAGGGATCAGCATCCTACAGGCAGTGCAAGAAGGCATAGGACAGTGATCAGTGTCCTACAGATAGTATATGCAGGTTCAGCACTCACCCTTCACCCTCTCCCAATGGTCCACAGTGAAGGTCGCTTCCACATTAGCCCTCCCCAATGCCTGTCACACTTTGGCCTGGGTCTCATTAATGAGAAGCTTCATTTAGATCTTGGTGTCCCAGCTGTTCCCTCAGAATGTACAGAGCTTTGACCAGGGGCACACTGAAGCTCTTACAGCACTGGGCCAACTAGTCCTCCTGCACTGCGAAGGTGGCAGTCTCCACCCACTGCATCCAGGAGAGGCCCATTGCCAGAATAGACACCATCCTCAGAAGTACTGAGGTACTGACTCTGCCCCAGCAATGGAAAAAAATGCTACATCCCTACAGACATAATTAAGGTGTGTGATTACAGGCACTTACAAGCATGTTTTCATGCAAAATTTAAAAACAAGAAGCCTGCCATATCTGTTGACTTGTTTGCCCCTGTGACAAGGTCAATTTACAGGATAACAAATATTTTGTTAGTCATTAATTTAAAGACATTTGGCCCAAAACCAAGCACAAATTCCCTCTGAAGTCAAACAAGTGCAAGATAAATTTAAATGTCAAGTATTCTAGTTAGTTAGTAGAATCTTAAATAACAAAAATAAAATGTTAACATGACACATGGGGGTGAGTTTGGTAGGAAAGAGTGAAAGGTGAAACATTATTTAAATACACTGGCAGTTAGGGAGCCATGTTCAATCATTTGCTTATATCTGTCTACCCACACAAACACATATTCTATGTTAGTGACTCTCAACCACCAGGTTGCAGCCTTCCTCCTGCCTGGTTGCAGCTTCTCATGTGCTCCAGAAAGAGCCAGCTCAAGGCAGAATAGGCACCCCCTTGTGTGCAGTGCTGCAGCGGGGGGGGGGGTGCATCCTGAAGATTTGAGGAGAGTTAGATATCAGTTGTTTTATGGATCATGGACATACAAAGTATACGTCAAACTCAAAACATAATATTTGCCCTGGAAGAAATAATAGCTAAGCAAATTCAGTTGGAGCTTCCATTGCTGAATAAAATTCTGTTTTCATAAACGAACAACTGAATTTTTCTAATGTATAACAATTTGCAACTTCTGTTAAGAAAAAACATAAACTACTTTCATAAATTACATGAGACACTAAGCATGGGACAAAGCATCTTGCACCAAGTAAATATCTGTCCAAATACTGGAAGCTGTATTAACAACATTCATTGAGCTATCAGAAAACAAGTAGCAGGAGTATGTCACCAACACCTACATACGTCATCATACAAATGTTTTCCATGCATACTTGATCAGTGTATTGTCAGCACTGCACCTTTCAGAAAGGGAGGTGCAGTGCATATACATATGTGGCACTACTGTGAGCTGCAGCAACAAGTGACAGGTCTGGCTGCAACTTAAAGGATGGCATTGCGAGCCACACCTGTCCCACAAACAGTATAAGCAGGAATAGGACATCACTGCGATCACTGTCTCATTGACACTATAAGCAGGCACAGCATAGGGATCAGCATCCTACAGGCAGTGCAAGAAGGCATAGGACAGTGATCAGTGTCCTACAGATAGTATATGCAGGTTCAGCACTCACCCTTCACCCTCTCCCAATGGTCCACAGTGAAGGTCGCTTCCACATTAGCCCTCCCCAATGCCTGTCACACTTTGGCCTGGGTCTCATTAATGAGAAGCTTCATTTAGATCTTGGTGTCCCAGCTGTTCCCTCAGAATGTACAGAGCTTTGACCAGGGGCACACTGAAGCTCTTACAGCACTGGGCCAACTAGTCCTCCTGCACTGCGAAGGTGGCAGTCTCCACCCACTGCATCCAGGAGAGGCCCATTGCCAGAATAGACACCATCCTCAGAAGTACTGAGGTACTGACTCTGCCCCAGCAATGGAAAAAAATGCTACATCCCTACAGGCATAATTAAGGTGTGTGATTACAGGCACTTACAAGCATGTTTTCATGCAAAATTTAAAAACAAGAAGCCTGCCATATCTGTTGACTTGTTTGCCCCTGTGACAAGGTCAATTTACAGGATAACAAATATTTTGTTAGTCATTAATTTAAAGACATTTGGCCCAAAACCAAGCACAAATTCCCTCTGAAGTCAAACAAGTGCAAGATAAATTTAAATGTCAAGTATTCTAGTTAGTTAGTAGAATCTTAAATAACAAAAATAAAATGTTAACATGACACATGGGGGTGAGTTTGGTAGGAAAGAGTGAAAGGTGAAACATTATTTAAATACACTGGCAGTTAGGGAGCCATGTTCAATCATTTGCTTATATCTGTCTACCCACACAAACACATATTCTATGTTAGTGACTCTCAACCACCAGGTTGCAGCCTTTACAGTTATGGTGGGATCCTCTATGAAACCTGATGTAGGTTAGAGCTCCTGGGAGCTCTGTAGAGCTAGGTGTACTGTGGGGGCTCATCTCATTACATTACACTGTAGTGCCCCCCTTCATATGACTGTAAAGAGGGATCCATCTACTGCTTTATCACTAAAGAGCCCCATTTCCCCTTATACTATGGGATCCTCATCTAATTATACATATCATTTGACTGCACTATGTGTGTCACATGCCTATTGCCTACTAGTATGTCTATGGTTACAAAGGAACAGATTGTTTCCACAGTGGGCTGTGCAAGGACCCAGTGGGGAGAGAAAAGGGGGCTTTTTAGAAACCAGTCCAGACCTTGTATATAAAAGTCTTAGAAAAACATTTATTCACTAAATTGTTGTATACATAGTCTAGAACCAAGGAATAAAGTACAAAATCATGTCATCAATAAAAATATATATCATTAATAAAAATACATATTGAATATGCAGGTTCACCGTTAGGTGACATTACCGTGCGGTTACGAGATATACGGTAACTTATTTTCAGATGATGTAAACGCTCCTATAGGTCCCTACATGTTTCGCCCCCAGAAGGGGCTTCTTCAGGGGAAAGAAGGCAGATCTCCGGGAGAACTGTATTCATGTATGTCCTCGCCAGATGTATAATCAAAGCAACAAAAACTAGATGACATGAAGCAGCTGCAACGAAATCATATAGGAGGTTGATTCTGTCGAAGGTAAACCGCCACGAACAACAATAGATGGAGGGATCGCGTCGGAGAACAGCACGCTATACTCCTCAGGGATCACGGGCAGCCGGTGAGGTACACTTAGGGGTCATGAAGTTCTCTTGCCGCGTGTGAAGTTAGTTTGAGTTCAGATTAGTGTGAGTTCAGACGAGCTGGGGGTGACACGCTCATCAGAGCCTCCGGACTTACAAGGAAAGGAACTGTCTGGAGTCACAATTCCACACAAGGATATACTTCTTTGAATCAATTCATCCGTGTTTAAACATGGGACCCTACAAGGACTGTCCCTCATGGTAAACCACACAGGATGTGAGTACGCTCTGACAATTTGTATCCATCTTTAAAACACATCTTCTGTGTTTATATTAGTGACTATTTACCACTGAGGTGGTTCCTAGATCATCACTCGTTACCTTTTCAAGTGGGATATCCAGGGGATGTCATTTTACTTGTTTTTAGATGTCTTGTTATAGTGGATCCTATGTGTAGTTTTCTTTTTTGTCATTAAATATTGTCTTTTATACATAATTATACTTTGTGTCACCTGTTTACTAGACCAGCTCCAGTAAAGGGATTTCTTTGTCTAGGGGATGCCTTTTATCTTGAATTAGTTTACGGAAACCCTGGAGAC